TACGGTATCATTCTTGCAGGGGATATCGATTAATCGTGAAAGAAATGCATTAAAAGCGAAAAATCGAGGATAGTTTCGTGTGACATATGCCAAGTCTGGGCTATTTTGGTCTCAATGTCTCCGTCCTTCGAATTCCCTCGTTATAAGGAAGGCACAGGCGGGCGCGGGCAAATCGAGCCTGGGCCTCCTGTGATAACGACAGAACGCTTGTGTAGCCTTTAGTCGCTCTTAGTGACTAATAATTTTTTTGAGGGGGGGGGCAAAATGGGGGGGGGGGGAATAATTTTGGAGGGGGCATTTGGCATTGTATATTGTACTGTAATCTGTATGCAAATTAGTATACAAGCGTTGACCATATTGTCATTAATTTCTGGCAATGATTTAATGTTGAACGAGAATGCGACACATTATAAACTTCTTATATTATATAATTTATTTCGACCGACGCCCGATGGTCATGTATATTCCCGCATACAACTGGGAAATATAAACGACCCGCCACTCGCCAGAAGCTCGTCAAGCTTGGTCAGATATATTTCGGTGAGGTCGTAAAATAACAGCAGGGTGATTGCTAGATAGTATATATTCAAAATAAGGTTACCGTTTTTATAACGTAGAAGAAACTATCCTAACGCAAAACTTAAACCCTAACCCCAATACTAACCTTAACCAAAACCTAACCCCAACTTAATAATTTAAAAATTGATATAAAAACGGAAACCTTATTTTGAAGTATACTATCTAACAATTGCCATAACGGCAGGAAGGCGAAAATATTCCTTGACTCACTAATAAACGCATTAACACCTGTTAACAAGTCTGCCCTTCCAGTTTTGTTAAATATATATATATATATATCCTGTGAAAATACCTGGTCCCGGGAAAAATCGTCCAATACCAAAATCCGACAGCACTAAATCACCATTCACATCAACAAGTATATTGGTCGGCTTCAAGTCTCTGTGTAAAATTCTAGGCTCTCTAGAATGTAATGCTTTCAGCCCTTCCAACACTTGACGTATCATCTTTCTAGCACGAGATTCTGTTATCTTTTTATCTTCCTCCTTGACGAATTCTTCAAGATTTTGTTCATACAAATTCAAAATCATATAAGCGTGGTTAGGGCTAGAAGTATCATCGTAAAACCAATAATTTACAACTCGTGGCGACGCGACTGCATTCCGAGACCTCAAGATATCTCGTTCATTCTTTAATAAATTACACAAGACTTTTGGCAAACGTTTTATCGCTCGTTCTATCCCGTCAGATCCCAAGCAAACATACACATCCGTGCCAGAACTGCCTTTGCCTATTGAGAACTCTTTTTTAAAACATACGCCGTTATTACTTATTACTGTTATCAATTCCGGATTAGCAATTAGGTTTCCAATGCTCCAGGATTTTGAAAGCAGTTCAAGCTTCTCTCTATGCTTCACAGAGACCTTTTTCCAGTCTTTGGGTTTTAAGGTTGCGATCTTTCCAATATTTTCCTCCATGTCCCCGTCAGTCGGTGATTTATTAGATCTTGATTTAGTAGATCTGCGCTCGGATAGACCTTTCAAAGAATTCCTATTCCATGCCATGTCGAAGAGTTCGAAGGTTATTCTACAAAATCACTAAAGTGGCGTCTGCCTGATTAATCGAAAATTCAGTTGTTCAAATCATGCGACCAAATTGTGCGATCAGGTGTACCAATGCGCTGGGCAACCTCGTACCCTATTTAAAAATATAAGACCTGAACTTCAGGTTACCTCGTACTCAGGATCTTGCTATGCCACTAACTTTTGTATGCATAAATGCTAATTTCAGTTAAAACAATGAGCAACTGTAAATTCGTTGCACGTAGTGGTTTTGACCGCGTGATCGCAAAGCATGGAAAACAGTAGGATTTTCAAAACAATGGAAAGACAATTGTCACAATTGAACATTTCGATCACTTCAACATCATGACCTGATGAACAGGATGGCATTACAGTCAATATTTAGAACTGAGGTAACTATCCGTCAAGAGCATAGCTAGTCCCTTAGTTTTAATCAAAATCCTTTACCAGCAAATAATAATGCCATCTTGTAAACTCAAGATACGAGTTATTAAAAAAAAAACAAGACAGATTATGGTAGTGATAGTTTAGTCAATGTATATTTATGTTTCTATATATAATATATCATTGTACATATATATCAAGTTAAAAGTGATGAAATAAATAAATTCTAAATAGAAATAGTGTACTGTATACTTCTGTGTGTACAGTTTATGAATTATGGCTGTGATTGTGAGATACGATCATATGATTTCGAAATCCGTTATTGGAGATCGAACTAATAATCTCTGTCTGGTAATTCCAGCCATGTAGCCTATTTTGTAATTAATTTTATGTAATATAGTGTATTGTGTTCAAAGGCAAAATCTGTATTAATTAAAATAATCTGGGTGGACGGGAAAGTTTTCAGTTTGTTTTGCGAGATTTCGTTTGGAACCTCTGGTTTCGAACTAAATGAATTTAATCAACACGAATGACGTGGACGTCGTGAATTTAACACAATGAAAGCTCTCCCACCGTTTCTGTTCAGCGGAGGATCTTCCTGTGTGGAAGCTGGCCTTTACCTTTACATACATGTTCAATCTGTCTCTTAGTTTACTTAACACGTCCAGTTTCAGGAAATTGAGCCACGTTTACTCAAACTCTCTGAAGCGGTGACTACTTTGAATTTCGATTTTAACTATTCCATTTAAATTTTAGCGAGTTTGAGTTCGTGATGTTATATTTGTTATCATGACTACTATTTTGGAGGTGGGTGCCCTGCATGGGACCTTTTATAAGAGTCCCGTTCGTACCTTACCTTTTTGGATCTACATTTGATATCTAGGTTATTTTAACTTAATGTAATATCTGTTCTGTTATTTTCTTTTGTTTGTTAAAAATTGTGAATATCGATCCAAATAAAATTTGTTAAATTTAAATTTAAAATTTAAAATAAAATAAAATACGAGCCACTCAGTTTAATATAAAGATCAGTGTTTGTTCCAGAGCGCTAATAACCGCGCTAATATAATTGTCCCAACAACCTGGGTACTAGTGTTTTTGTTTTGAAAATTTTGATAATTTTTTGAGCAAAATCATCCTCGTTCCCAGGGCTTCTCGGCTGCCTGCGTTGCCGTAAGCCCTGGGACAAGCCAAACCGGAACACCACAAATTCTGGTGTTTTCCGGAAGTAAACGCGTTCTGCTGCAATTTAAAAATGCTGACTATGCACTAATTTTTACTGAGGAGTGGAGACGTGTTGATGATCAGAAAATATTGGATTTTTCTTTTGTTTCGATGTATTTTCCACCATCAAGGGAATATGTGCAGACCACCTAATGGAATTATACATATTGGGGTTTTATATTTCGTTATATCGTTAATATTCGTCAAAATACAACCATATTTCGGTTTCGTATTACATGTATCAATTTTCATGTATGATGTAAACATGATCGAGTCGAAATGTGAAGTGGCCGCTGTGATTCGAAACATCATGGGTTCTTGTACAGATGACCTGTTTCAACACGAGCTTGTAAAGTCACTTCAAAGACTGGACAAAGCCGGACTGGAAATTAAAGAAAAGTAATTCGAAGCTTTATCGTCCATCGTATGTTGTATATTTATAAAAGGAACAAGAACGACATGTGACATGTCTAAACGGCGGTGTGTGTCTGTTTACTGGGTTACAACAACGGCAATAACAATGAATCACCTAACATTTCAAGAAAATATAAATTATAGATAGATGTCATGTATGACTCCATCAGTTTTGGATTTGAATTGCTAGATTTAAATCTATATTATGTATACAAAATCATGCGTGCGTAAATTTGAGCAAAAGAGCACAAGGTGTTTGTTTGGCCATATGCCCATCATGTAGTATGAATATTGAACACCGTTTTACTGTATATAGCACGTTTAAAACGTTATTTCCATGCAGGATAATCCTGAATCCTTCACCGATTACATGCCGTGGCAAATGAAGAAAAATAATTATGTAAATGGCCATGAATGCAACTGACTATGCTGCTTGATACATCTGACAGTCAAAACTATGTGCATGACTGTATGGCTCAATGTATGTTAATTGTTTCAGGGAAATTTTTGTTTTTAGATTAAAGTATAACAATATTTTCTGCATTCCAATATATTTTAATCTACATGCAAGTGCACCTTCTGTTTCAGATAGGGGCCAAATCATTTGAGGCCAAATGGGATAGCCAATGATTGGAGGGTAGTGTTAGCAAATTTGACTCCCTTACATAATGTCAAGTTATCACTGGTCAATTTTTAAATTTCTTACAATTTCACATCAGGGAGTTCATTGCCCCCCCCCTCCCCCTCCCATTAGCCAGAAGTGTGACTAAGCGATTTCTAGTATCTATCCAGGTGTCCAATCTAAATCTCCACCACAACAGGATGTATACCCGAGTGATGGTAAGGGAGGTGGGGTTAAAATTCTGATCTATCAATATATTACTACACATTTCCACATTGAAAATATGAAAAGTTTTCCAGTTCAATATATCTATAGCAGGAGACTTAAACCAGAATTTCAGAATACAAAGCAACTTTTATGTCATTTTTGTAATGGTTTGTTTAAAATCAATTTTTATTCAGACATGGTAGGGTGTCTCCTGGCTAGAAGCCTGCATATACATATACATATACAAATTTTCAGTTTTGTCAATAATAATAGTTTATTTTATAATTTCAATTCTTACAAGATTTGCAATAAGTCAACAGAATAAGTATTCTATTCTGCATGGGCATACCGGAAGGAAAAAATTAGGGGGGCGGAAAGAAAATTGCCCGACTTTTCGGGATTCTGCTCGACTATTACCAAAACATTTTTTCCGGAAAAATTATTTTGGCGACTTCCCCCCCCCTCCCCCCCCCCCGTCGCCAAAATAATTTCGGTCAGTGTACCATTTTAGGGGTCAAAAAAATTTTCCGCACAACAATTTTGTCGGAGCATAACACAAATTTTCGAAAAATCGCAAAATTTCCCAAAAAATTGACTTCATTTTAGACAAAATTGGCAGAATTTCTCCCATTTTTTTTTATTGTAAACCAAAATTGCCCGACTGTTGATCGAATATTGCCCGACTGCCCAAAAAACTGGGGGGGCTACCGCCCCCCCCGCCCGGTACGCCTATGCTATTCTGAACTGTTGACAGGAAACAGTGTAAATTCATGATCTCTTCCAATATATATGACACAAGAATTCGAGACCCCCACCTCGGGCATACCAGGGGCATTCACTTAATTTGGTGTGTGAAATTCAGTGAAGTCCCCTGCAGCCAGGACAAAATGGCAAGGTAAATTTCTTCGGTCCTATCATCCCCAGGTATTCAATTGGAATTTTTACTTGAAATTTCCCAAACCATTCCTTTACTGTTCTGTAAAAGCCTTTCCTAGCAGACTGCTTTATTTCAGCATTTATATAAAAGACTAAACCTTTCCTAGCCGACTGCTTTATTTCAGCATTTATATAGCCGACTGCTTTATTTCAACATTTATATAAAAGACTAAGTGACCCCCTCCCCCATGACCTCATTCATTCCTCGACTTGGACACTGAAAGTAAGTGTCTTCCCTGTTTGCCAAGAAATGATAAACCAGTGAATAAGAGGCGATTGTCCTTGCATTCCCCTCTGGTATGCCAAAGGTGCAGGGATTCAAATGACTGGTGCAATTGAATATGCTTATAAGCTTATTCATTGTATTTAATTAAAAGCTATTAAAATTACTTACTAATATTAATACAACTGAGAAAATTCAGAAATAGTAAATACACCTATAATATTCTATATGCTATATTTAAAAATTCCAATTGGCCATTTTAATATAGGACCATTTTAATATAGGGCCATTTTAATATAGGCGGGTAACTAGCCAAGTGACCAATACCAAAAGCATAATAATTAATAAAACACACTATATTAACCATTAAAACTTTACTATCGTAAATATATATTATTAAACATTTTACATTTACAGTGTGCTTAAAATTTTACAATTATACTTGAGCACAATGTTTTAATAATAGGCAACTTTATAACAAGAAAATGTTAAAATGAAGAAACTTTTTAATGGCTTCATAATCGACGTTTCTTCGATATTGTTGGTTACTTCTACTTTATAATTGTCCATTTTGCTATTTTCTTTCTTTCTGTTTGTAAATTATCTCCATTAATCCATAGAAAACAAGCAGTATACGTTTGTATTTCTTCGTATTTCGAACGCGCACTCCTTGAAGGCAGCCATATTGCCGAATATAAACATCCACTTGACGAATAAACTTTTCATATTTCACTCTATTTCCAACGACCAATCAAATCACTTCTGCTTCGGCTTGTCCCAGGGCTTACGGCAACGCAGGCAGCCGATAAGATATTCTTAAATCCGTCTGACCGTGTAGCTCAGTTGGTAGAGCGTCGATCTAGTAATTGGAAGGTCGCGGGTTCAAGACCCAGCCGCGGCAGACAACATCTTTCTGCTTGCGCTGGGTATGGAAATTATATAATACACACTCTACAACATTTTCATCTTAACATATTACACAACTAATATATATATATATATATATATATATATATATATATATATATATATATATATATATATATATATATATATATATATATATATATATATATATACTCTGTGCCAGCAGCATAGAAATAATATCTATTATTATACATTTAATATGTATTCTCTTTCTAATTGGTCAGAAAGCACCGGCTAATTTTCAGTATTTGGCATTTATTACGTATTTTCCGCCGATGACGTCATCAGCGTCCAATAATTGTTTTTTTGGATCGAACTTGCATCCAAAAAAAAAATTATTGGACTCTCTCGTGCCCAAACCCTTGCGCGGCCAAAAGCTTGAACCTATAAGCGCGCGAAAAAAAAAAAAACAATGGCCTACAGCAGATTTGCTTCGCTGATTGAAAGTGAACTCTCCAAATTATTGGCAGATAAGGACAGTGAAAGCACGAAAAAAGCCACAAAGGGGTAAATAGAAGTAGAAATAGAATATTTAGCTGACCTTTGACTTTGTGCAAGGTGTTTGATATTCAAATTGTACTTTTCCTACCTCGTGAACAGGAATTTGTCGTTTTAATGTTTCTCATGTCTTTAAATGTATAATAAAACAATTATTGGATTCGGCTTTCGCATGATATCAAGAATTATTCAGACCTCGGTCTATGTTATCCGCCTCAGCTTCGCTTCGGCAGATAACATTGACCTCGGTCTGAATAATTTTTGATATCATGCTCAGCCTC